TTAAAACACAATCCTTCGAACCTGAAGATGAAGACTACTACATCAAATGCTTAAAAGAATGGATCACTGATGAGGCTGATAGAGTAATCCATGAAGTGAAGGAATCAGAAAAGAGAGTGCTGAATGAAATTGAAAGCGTAAAGGACAAACTGGATCAACTAAAACCGGAGCCATCAAAACCGGCTACACCTGAAGGTATGACAAAACATCGAATAGATTATAGTATAACCACAGCTAGTCAATACTTGTGAGCATAACTCGAGTTCAAATAAATCGATATATTACCACTAAGACGAATAAAATGTCGATTGCAAAAAGGAAAAATTACAAAAAGAAAGAAGGAACAATTATAGAATGTGTTAGTCAAAGTGTAATAACGCATGATAAACTAGAAAATATGAGACAAAATAATTGTAAAATCTACTAAATTGCGCTGTTTAGTAATTTAGCACTGTTTCAATATCTATCATTTTTTTATTGCTCAGATCGCGCTAATCATCAACATATAAGCTATACTTAAAGAATAGACTTTAGGGACTACTGCGCAATATTTCAAGGAGAGGGGGGGTTGAGAATCCAGAGAGTTGGGTAACATTTATTATTATTATTATTAATATTATAGTCGAGGTCCTTTTTGAAAATCATTTTTTAATGAAAAAGCATCCTCAATAAAGCATATTAATCTTATTATTATTAACTAGAACTTTAATTTGAAATCAGCGGTGTCTGATTCGAAAACTACGATTTGCCACGATTTACGTAGTCCAGAACTGGACCCTCTTTTCTCAATTACTATAGATAATATTCTATGTAAAAGTTCAAAATCCAAAGCGCGCGCTACAGAAAATTGAAAAGTGTTTTTTTTTTTATTGAGAAAAGTTTTTTTTTGAGAACGCTGATTCAAAATATGTACTTATTGACTGAGTGGGAGGGCCGTACGGGAAAATATTTGGCTCGAGGTTATGCCGTACGGACCGAGCGCAGCGAGTAGGGCCGAAATACGGGTCATATGATAATAATTATAGTTTTCAACTCCGCGCGCGCAAGGATAAAAGAGGGTCCAGTTCTGGACTACGATTTACGGCAAGTCTTTATTTACAAATTTTGTGAAATGAATGAATAAATTCACTGGGGGTGGGGGGCAGAGATTAATCTAATATTTCGTTTGCGATGTAGTAATTAACTTTTTTTGGCCCATTTTTCCCTCTCCCCGGATAAATATTTTGCACTCCTTATTTAGAAGGCTTGTTTGTTTATTCTGATTTTGTTGCACACTTGACTTCATTCAAGTTTCTTTTATTCTCGGCTAGCTTAGTGTTGGCGTCGCTTTCCGCCGTAGTGTGAACCGCAACCCTTATAGGACATAACCATAGCAATAAAAATAATAAACTGGTTAAAGACAAAAGAATAGTACTTTTTCCTTATTTCGTCCACACTTATTAATTGTGTTTTCCTTTTTTCCCCAGAAATGGAATTGTACTCAAAAAAACTCAAGAAAACCATACTAAAGCAAACAGAACTTGAACTACAGCCMAAAGGAATAATACAATCAATGAAAACTGATGATATTTTTACGAACTTGATTGTTCACCACGGGAAAAAAAGATGCCCAGAACTTTTGCCACAACAAATTCAAAGACCTCATGGATATCACCCTGATCGTAAGACGCTGACTGAAATCAAGCAATGTAGTGAGATTTTTGTTGACGAAGACGAAAAAGACACTACCGTCAAGAGAATATTACTTTCAGGTGAACCAGGCGTAGGGAAAACACTTTTCTCGCAGAAACTTCTTCGTGATTTGTCTACCAATTCCATATCGCTCCCTGAAATTAAGTTTACTTACCTCATAACGTTTAGACAATTGAACAATTTTTCAAACGAAGAAACGTTGAACCTCAGAGAACTGCTAAATCTTTGCCCTTTATTGAACGATGGAACCATGATAGACGAGAATGTGATGGACTACATTCTTCAGCATCCAGAGCAGTTATTGATTGTTCTCGATGGCTTTGACGAATATAAAGACAGCAACAAAATACTCGGAGATTTTGAAAGTCAATTTCCTAATGATAGTAAAACCAAGAAGCCAGTAGCAGCTCTTCTAAGCAAACTAATCAGAAAAAAAATCTTGGCCGATGCTGTCATCATGGTTACTTCCAGGCCGAGCGAAGCGAACGCGTTAGACCAAGAAATGCACCCTGACCACTATGTCGAAATTACAGGATTTTCAGAATCAGAGGTTATTGCATATGTTAAGAAATATTTCAGTACAAAA